TTTTTTTTTTTTTGCTGTTTTTATTGAATGTTAACCTTTCCTAACCTTAAACCTATCAAAAAAAAAAGTTTTTCTCTCAATAGTTTAGACTATTTAATTGTCTTCGTTTCATATAACAACAGCTTTCAGTGCTCTTTATATGTCAACAGAAAAAAAACCAGAAGAACCTCTTATCTATGGTGTAAAAAATAAAAAATAAAAAAGAAAAGAACGGGAAAAATGTTGAATAAAGGAATAACAAAATTAAATGGTGATGGTGATGATGTTCGACGGTAAAGGTAAAAGGTGGAACAAAAAAAAAAAAACTTAACAAACAAAACAGTAATAATAATGACCCAAATCGTTTTGATGTAATAAATAAGGTTTTTTTCACCTTTTCAAATCTTTTTTTTTTACTTCTCATCGACCTTGTCAATATTTTTTTGTACCATTGATGCTGCTTATTTCTTTTCTTCTTCTCCTTCTTTTTTCTTCCCTTTATGAAATCTGTGCAATCCATAAGAGAAGATGCCCAGATCGTTGTTGGGCAAATAACTGGATGTCCCATAGCTATTAGTATTGAAATCAACAAATCAAGTCATTGTCAATGACGGTGAGAGAGGGGGGAGGAAAAACAGAAAGAATAAAAATGACCAAACCAAAATTGAGCAATAATTTTTTTTTTATAAGTTTCTTTTTCCTTCCTGCCAATTTTTATTGGAACTAACAGTTTTTTTTCTTTTTAAAAACGCTTAAATGTCTATTCTTTTATAAATTATTCCTATTAGACACGGCCCTTACTAAGAAGAGATAAAAATGAAATGAGATAAAAAATTTTTTTATTTGATATTTTTGGCAACAGCAATACCACGGTCTCATGGGGTGTATTAACGTGCTAGCCGACTAGTTGCAGCTTAAATTCTACTAGATGCTAGAGTAATCTGAACCACAATATGATCATGGAATCGTCCAACAATTACTGCAGTCAAGCGACTAAGCGTTCTTCTATTGCAATCACTATCAGAAAAAAAAATTTCTTTTTTTTTTCGTAAACCAATATCATCACCGACAAATCAAATACCAATAATCGCCTATTTTTAATTTCATTTTTAGTGCTGCCTTTAGAGGGTTGATATAGCAGCAGCTTTTCGTTGATACGTTTGACATTTTTACTGCTGATTACAGCGTTTTAGCCAAACAGAACAACAGTTGGACAACGATGGAGAGGACGATTGGAAAAATATGGGAAAATAAAAAGATTGCAACCAAAGATTGAACAAAATCTTTCTCCTTTTCTATCCTCCCAGTCGTCTTTTTATCGTCTTCGTCGCTCTCGTCATTGTCGATGGTTTCATATATTTTTAACAACAATTTAAGATAGAAAAAAAAGAATAGAAGAAAGAAATTTTCGC